TCTCTCTCTCTCTCTCTCTCTCTCTCTCTCTCTCTCTCTCTCTCTCTCTCTCTCTCTCCCTTTACACGTGGGCTGCGCTGCTATAGTTTATTACACACATTCGCCTGTGCAGAGCGCGTATCCACCCACACTTCTACGTTGATAAGAGAGAGGGAGAGAGGGAGAGAGAGCGAGAGAGAGAGAGAGAGAGAGAGAGAGAGAGAGAGCGAGAGAGAGACGCACGGACGCACGCACGCACGCACGCACGCACGCACGCACGCACGCACGCACGCACGCACGCACGCACACACACATACGGACGGCCGGAGGGCGGACAGACAGACAGACAAACAAAGAGAGAGGGGTGTCATATCTAATGTCATTCACACATTACACCGAGGAAGATTGTCCGCCACGATAGATGCAAGCATAGATAGTAGTGCATACTACCTTGGTTCTGCTTAATACTAAGCCGTGATGCCACGCCCTTGCTATATCCGTACGATAGGAATTTGATTCAAATCTCACACAAAAACCGCGTAAGCTTTAAAGACGATCACGGCTTAACGTTCAACGTTGTTAATTGGATAGGTCGTCTCAAGTGCTACCGATTCGACGAAATACAAGACACACCACTACACGGCAGCTGACAAATGCTTGTACGCTGCGCAAATACACGCGACTGTTTCACTTCAAAAAAATCCGAGCCAATCTTCTTGTTTACAGTACGCTGCCTTCTGTACCACACACATTTCCTTCCTGGCAGGGTGCTACTTGTCAACAACTCCTCTACTCCACAGATGAAAGAACAAACATTCTGAGCGTTGCCAGCACAGCCCCATTTGAGCGGTAATCCATAGTTATGCAGCTTTGGTTGGGACATTAAAAACACTTCCGTTCAAATATGCCAAATGTTGCGTACAGTTTTTTTTCCCTATATTTTTCATCCAGCTGCTTTTATTTCATCTCAGGTTCTTCATGTTTGACAGGAAATTTTAAACGAGCCGTAGTCAGTCAGCCAGCGACACAGTTGATAGATCACCAGTATGAATTAGCAGATAAGCAGAAATAGCAGAATAGCAGATAAATTCGTCGATTAAGTGTCAGGCAAGGCAGTCGCAACATCCGATTAATTAATTAATTAACCCGCACGCAAACCTACACAAGATACACACGCACAATCCTAAAGCACCAAACAACGCGCGCACGAACGCATGCACGTACGTACGCGCACGCACGCACGCACGCGCACGCTCGCACGAAACATGCGTCTATTCACGCAGACGCATACGTACACAAACACAAACACAAACACAAACACAAACACAAACGCATGCGTGTGCACGCAACACACGGGCGAGCTACGCAAGCGCACGCGTACTCACTCGTGAACGCACGTACGCGCGCGCGTGCACGGATGCATCTTTCAGATAAGAGCTACCCCAGCCTCTATGTGTGAGGATATTTCAGAATGACGTAGAAGCAGCTGTCATATCACGTGGCTTATTAAGAACAGGTGAAGCTCACCATCAAGGTTTCTCTCTCTGCATAAGTTCTACGTTTAAAAGCCTCCGACCATATATACCTCTATCTACTATTAAACTAGCTGTTTAGCATAAAAAAACAGAACTGGTTGGTACTGACCACGGCGCCCGAGTATAACGTCCCAATTAATATATATACGTGTGTGTGTGTGCGCGCGCGCGCGTGTGTGTGTGTGTGCGTGTGTGTGTGCGTGCGTGCGTGTATGTGGTGTATGTGTGTGTGAGTGTCTGTGCGTGCGTGCATCTGTATATATATATATATATATATATATATATATATATTTATTTATTTATTTATTTATTTATTTACTTATATAACTCTACAAAAATCGCCAAGATATTAAAAACATTTGCTGTAGAGTTAGTTAAAAAGCGCCGTTGTACTACGCAGCAGGGAGAGGCGCGAAGAGCCAAAATCAACACATGTCCGTCTACCATTACTTGCCTCTCTCTCTCTCTCTCTTCGACCGGCGCCGCCTGCCAGAAAGCCCAAACTCTAAACGAAATAATACTTTTCGTGGCCGACGTTTGTAGCTAAGGTTTCTGCCGCAGACACGACCACTTACTGGAAATTGGCATCCCGTGTAATAAGTGGGAGAGCTTGTGTGGAGGCTTCAGGCTCACAGGCGAAATACCGTGCGCATTAAGAGCAGGTCTAAGAATGCATGCCTACAAGCAAACCCTGGCTAGGAACTACGCATAGAAGCCTTGAGCTTCTTGTGCCCAGCGATATCATTCCACGTTGCTTGCGTTAGGTAACACTATAGCGCTTAGAAATGGCCACCACTGTCTTCCCAGGGCATCGGCTCTCACGCTAGAAGGAGCATAACTGACACAGCACTCATGCACCGTTTAGCTAACTGAATTGCGTGGGACCATGTGATATCGTTGTATTGCAAAGCTAGCAGGAATAAACACACACCACGCGTGATTTCGAACAGACTACACTCGTATGAAAAAAACTTGCACATCTATTTTGAGTATCAACTTGGCACGCTAACATTTATATGCCGAACCATTGGGAAAACGCTTCAAAGACAACAAACAATTGGGCGTGAGGAAAGCACTGGCATTCGGTGAGACATAATATACGAGCCAGTCAAAGATTTACTGACGTATCGGAACTCTTTCTATATAATCCGTTCTTACTGCTAGATCAGGAATCTAAGAGGAGTTAATTGACAGAGAACATATATCACATGGCCGTATATGTTCGCAGTCGCGCTTGCTGTTCTCATTCTTCGCACCACACACGTCGTAGGCGCGCAGTTAACATAGAGAAGGGGCAAATTAACATTCATACAGAAAGTGTAGCCGTAGACGTGGGTATAGTATACGTAGACGTGGGTAGTATACGTAGACGTGGGTAGTATACGTAGACGTGGGTAGTATACGTAGACGTGGGTAGTATACGTAGACGTGAGTAGTATACGTAGACGTGGG